TATGTTGCAATCTATCCAAGTCATGAATGTTCCTTAAGATGCAAAACAAAGTCTGCTTGGAATTGTTTGTGTTAACAGTAATCTGTGTTTGCCCAACTCTGTAGCTGGATCTTTCATGCATAGGGCAAGTTATTAGCAGTCTGTATGTATGTTAATGCTTCTTTGTTTTTCAAACTCTCTCCCTTTTTTAGAAATACCATTTTTTGTTTGTAGCTAGTGGATATTTTGAGGTTTATCTTCAAAATGTGTCAAAAAAACTGATTAAGGTTCATTAGTTAAACGTGCTTTCAGGCTTTCTTTTCTTCAAGGAAAAGAGCAAATAAAAGATAAGTTAATGACAAAAGATTATGTAATAAATTGATCTCCGAAATGGGAAATAAGACATCTAAGGACAAAAATGGTTAATAACATAATACGTCGAGTTTGTTGGCTCGCAGTAGGAGTATTGCTACTAGTTGGCACTAAAAAAAAGGATGACACCCCATTCTTGAGGGTCCCCCAACACCGACCGGACGGCACGATGGTAGGATGTAAATTGGACTATAATCACCATCTAATAGATAGAGAGTGAGCTCCGTCCCCGGTACTAGTTGGCACTAGGTGCTAGGCGGCGTTGGTGTTGGCTGGGCACTTGCAACTTTGCAAGTGATGACGCTCCGACAATATAGTCTACTACACATGATATTACTAACTAGTGACATCACATGCTTAGGAGTAGGGCTGAGCATAATCCGATCTGGACCGGAAAACCGGACCGAATCGGATAGTTACCGGTCTTCGGTCCAAGGGTTTTACCGATTCCGGTTCCGTTCCGGTCCAAAACCCGGAATATTCCGATCCGGACTGGTTAGACCGGAATTTAATTATATATATATATATATGTACACACACACACACACACACACACATATATATATATATATATATATATATATATATATATATATATATATATATATATTTGTATATGCATTAAATTTTTACACACACAAACGCATACTCCGTACAAAGTACATTAATTAATTTACTTAAAAAGGTGCATTAATTAAGTGATACAATACCTTAGACATTAGTTCAAGATACATAAGTTGTACATAGTATTATTTAATTTACATATTTACACTAGTAAAAGTTTGTAGTATAAAAATATTATAAGTTTGAATATAAAGGTGCATTGTATTTACTTATGTTTACTTGTTTTAATCATAATACGTAGTGTGACTAATTGAATTTTTATTTACTAAATCATTGAGTCAAATCATTCACTAAATTAATGGAGCATGACAAGAACATCAATTTCCCGTACTAATATGGTCATTCATAAAATTTTAGAGTCAAAATTGAATAATCACATAGTTCATGTGTTTATTTCTACTGATTTCATGTAATCTAATGTATATTATATTGATTAAAAACGACATAAGAAATGCAAATCATACATATAAAAGAATATATTAGATATAATCACATATAAAATATCATAAAATAATAATCCGTAATAGAAACAACGAGATAATAAGTAAAAAAATCAGGTCAGAACCGATCCAGACCGGAAAACCCGGAATAATCCGGTCCGGTTCGGTCCTGGACCGAAATTATATAGGTCCGGTCTTTGGTCCACATTTTTTTAGAATTCCGGTTTCGGTCCAACCGGTTCTGGTCCGGTCCGGTCTTGGACCTGTTCTCAGCCCTACGTAGGAGTGGATCCTGTTTCACAAACTAGGTAAGAATCATATATTTATTTTACATGAGTTGTGAAATAGCTACTTCAATTGTATGCCACACTTTCGTGGTCAACTAGGGGAAATTCTATTTCATTACCAAATTCTATGGATTCATCCAATGAATCCATATAAATGGGATCAGAGAAGACGATACCAAACTTAAGTGCTTTCCCTACATCTTGAAAGGAGAGATAAAAAGGTGATTTCTTGGTCGAGCAATTGCCAATGATCTAAACTATTTGGGAAGGTATTTATAGCGCCTTTGCATCCATGTGTTAAACCTCGTCCATGACACCAGAACTATAATGCAGTTTCGGTGTCCTCGGCTTATACCAGATATATGTTCGTACTACATATATAATGTAAGTGCCACTCAATTTTTGCTGAGGGTGTAGTTTCCTTGTTTTATTTCATGCTACAGAAGTACAGAGGATCAAGATATTGAAGGACAACTTGCTTGAAGTCATATAAAGTGTCTTTAATATTACTCAATTACTTTAATATTGAAATTAGTTTTACCAACTTGTGGTCCATTTGATATTTTCTGTCACTAAACTCACATTTCCTCACATTAATAATTAATAATTTAATATTTTAGAGTAAATAAATCTTACTCTACAACTAGTTTTTAAACCTTTTATTTTTCTATTTTTGAAAGTCCGCTAACGTCCAACCAGTTCGAGTTGGATCAAGTAGAATTAGTGGAATCGCCTGAGCTGGGCCGGGTGGGTGTTACAATGAAAGAAAATTGGCAGTGGTCCAGGTATACCACTTCCCACATTTAAATCTTTCACTTGTGGAAGGTCTTGAGTTCAACTCACTAAGGAGTCGAATTTGGGAGGTCTCATTCAAACCGCGACCCTCTAATCGTGGAGCTGAATCCAGTGATTAAACGATCAATGTTTCATATTGCCTCAAACGACATTGTGAGATTTAGCTTCTTGTTAGGAACCTGATGATGTGACAAATCATCGATGGTTATCCCATGAGCGGTGCTTGACAACACACACAACCAATCAATTAAGTGTATTTCTTGTATGTGGTGATGTATATATGACAGTGAAAATTTAATAGATTGTTCATGTGATTCATATTTATTTGTCACAAGGGTTTGTGGTGCGATTTTGGGAGCTTAGGATTAGTCCAACGAAGCTATATCAACTCGGGTTAAAAGAAAAATTAATTTATTTATTCAGTGATGTTTAATGTACACGTTTTTTGGTATACACTTTATACATTTCTTCTGTATCATTATAAAATTTCTAAAGCTTGTATATTTTTAAAGACAATTATATGTTTCTTGGACAAATTGTCGGTGTCTCGGTGATATCGACAAAATGTGTGGTGCATTTAGGAAAAATTGTAATAAGAGGCCGTTTGGTGACACTGAAATTGACCGTATCGATTGAATTTTTTGAAATTGAATGAGTTAAGTTTGAAGTGGTTGAATTGGTTGAATATGGTGAACTATGGAAGAATTGAATTTAAAATACACTTAGTAATGAAATAAATAAAAAATTATATGAAGGTAGCTAAAATGATTCTCTAAAGCATCTTTAGCCAATTTATTCAGAAAAGTAACCCCAAACTTACTCATATTGATTTTTTTACAAAATTCTGCTCGCGAAATCAAAAATTACATGTTGGGTGAAAAATTGATTCTTAGTGCTAAAAGCAGAAGTTATTAAATGACTCTAAATGATCGAAATTATTTTCATTAATTATTACTCTCTCTTTCTCAAAAAATTTTCTTATTTTCTTTTTTGGAATGATCCAAAATAATTGTTTCCTCTAATGACAATAATATGATGACTTCAAAACGGAAATAATACTCCATATGCATATGCGATGGATATCAATTCACTTTTTTTCTAGAGCAACCTCAATTGCAATTTTCACCTTCTGAATTATTTCCTACAAAACGGTGATAAAGCAAACAAGACAAGGAGGGGGAGGCTGGTTTTGAAAGTTGACCCCGGAAATTAGGTGTGGACAAAATATCGAAATATCGGTATATCGCACTTGCCGTACCGAAAAATACCGGAAAATACCGAAATATTGGTATACCGTCATTTTCGGTACGGTATCATACCGTACTGATCTATTTCGGTACGGTAACGACAAATGTTTTCAAATACCGCGGTATACCGGTAAAATACCGTACCGACTCCCCACTCAACAATTACTTTTAATTTTAATATATTGTAGAAATCCATTACAATTTTGAAGCCCAGAATTAATATTTAAGTTGGTTACAAATACAAAAATACAAAAATAAAGCCCCAATTTCTCAAACCCACTATAACCTTATAGGCTTCTACTACGCTAACCTTAATGACTAATAAGTAATGTGCTAATGTCAAGAAACAAGTCCATCTTGTTCCAAAATCTTGCAAGTCGTGATAGCTGGACCGCTGAGTAACTGACGAGTGAAGAGAGATACACTTATGTGACAAGTGTATCTATATATGGATTCCGCGAGTCGAGACACACAACTTTGTCCGAAAGTCTTATTCAATTTTTAAAAAATTATAAAAATGAATAAATACACAATATCATATTAGGAATAAATGATTTTATATTAATGTTGTTTGAATAGTTATATTTATTTTTGTTAGAGATCACTATTGATTTAATTATATGTATATTGTTCAAGTTATTTTAGGAGAATATGTTACTTTTTAATATGTGGCATGTTGAACTGCTTAAATATACTAATAATAATAATACTCCGTAATTATTATTATTATTATTATTGTTCAATATTGAATTGACATAAATAGATTATTAATTGTATTTCGTAACATTTTACTAATAGATTTAATATGTCTCTAGTAATAACGATTTACTACGTAATATATTTCGTTAGTCTATGATAATTTTTTGTATTGGGAGACATGCACAGTAATTTATCGATACCGTACCATTACCGAACCGAAACTTCGGTATACCGAAATGCGGTATACCGAAACTTCGGTAAGGTAAAGGTATGCAAATTTTGCATACCGAAAGTTTTGGTACAACAAAGGTATGAGAAAAAATATAAGGTATACCGTGTCGAGCCATCCCTACCGGAAATCCCATAGGAGAAAGAGTCCAATCTAAAGATCTTTGGCGGGTCCCACGTTCTAGGCGTGGGTAATTGGTATTGAGCCGGAAATGCGGTCCCAATTCCTTTCTTCCTTTACAAGTGCAAAGCCCATTCATCGCCGTCACGTTTCCCGTGAAAATTCCTTACCCAAACCTCACTCCTTCTTCTATTCTTCAACTGCCACACGAAAAAGTAATTAATTAAGAACGCTATAAGTAAAGACGCTCGCAGTTTTCTTTGTTCCTTTCTTCCTCGCTCACATGATTATAGCCTGTTGTCGTCTTTTCCGATCGCGTGGGGATACTTTATCTTTCATGTTCGTGATTTAACAGGTCGATGATGATGATGAGCCGATCGAGGATCATTCTAAGGCTTTACTTTTGCATTTGATTTTTGAGTTCTTAAACGGAACTCCTCCATAAATTAGGTGTAGAATCGATCTTAAGGTTACTGTGGGAGGAGGTTCTGTATTTGCGGGTTTGTCAAGACAGAGAAAATCATTGTTATTTAGATAGACTGTGTATGTAGCAGAGGAAGTACGAGTTCTGCAGATTGAAATGCCTGTGACGAAGATTCTACCGATCAGTTCGCGAGCTCAGGCCGCAGAGGCCTCTATTGGTAATGACTCCTCTAAGCCGATTACGAAATCTCGATTCAAGCGATTTTTTGATCGGCCGTTCCCAAGCGTTCTGCGGAATTCATCTGCGGCGGAAAAGCTCACCGTTGCCCATGTACCTGGCGGTGAGTTGCTTCGCTGCAAGGAAGGATTTTCAGCGGTGGTGGCTGAATACGAGCCCAGCTCTGTTTGCCTGACGAAGATGGTTCACAATTTCATGGAGGAGAGCAACGACAAGCTGCCGCCGAAGGCCGTGAAGTGCGGACGCAGCCGCTGCAATTGCTTTAACGGCAAAGGCGACGACAGCTCCGATGATGATTTCGACTTCACTGCCTTCGGATCTCTCTCCACCTCTTCCGATTCTCTTAAGGTTCCTTAATTTCTAGAAAATGCTAATTCCGAATCATGCTTATGATCGATCCCCCTCTGATTTTTTTTTTATGTCACAACAATTCAGAGTTTAGTTCTTTGTGCGACGGTTTCGGAGAGAAACATATTAGCAGACGCCTCCAAAATTGTGGAGAACAACAAAACATTCAAATGTAAAGAAGAATCTAGAAAAATCGTCGCCAAAAGCCTCTTATCTCTAGGCTATACCGCTTCTATCTGCAAATCCAAATGGGAAAGGACCTGCTCGATTCCAGCAGGTATGCCGTATGTGTAACATACGTGCTTAATTTGTTACAATTGGACTTTAAAATTTACAATTTGTTTGATTCGGTTCTGAAAAGAATTTTTCATAACGTGTAGGTGAATATGAATTTATAGATGTAATTGTTGAAGGGGAAAGGGTGTTCGTCGACCTAGACTTTCGATCGCAGTTTGACATTGCGAGGTCAACGAGAGGTTACAAGGTGATTTTACAGTCGCTGCCGTCCATATACGTCGGAAAAGCTGATCGGCTTCTGCAGATCGTGTCGATTGTGTCGGAAGCCGCGACGATGAGCTTGAAGAAAAAAGGGATGCATATCGCACCATGGCGTAAAGCCGAGTACATGAAAGCCAAGTGGCTCAGCCCTTGCAGCCGTACTTCTCTGCCGGAACCAAAAGCTGAGCGGATAGTGATAGAGATCGAAGCTGGAGCCGAGACCGAGGGTGATGAGTTAGTTTGATCTGATTTCCGGAGATAAAAAAATCGATGTGTGTATGTACGGACAGGATAATGCCTTTATCGATCTCCTCTCCACCAGAGAAGCCTGACGTGGCAAAATGGAAACTACTGGAGATAAAGCCGAAAGGCAGCGAAAAAGCTAACCAGATTGTAGTCACTGGATTGGCTGCTCTCCTCAAGGACAAATACTAAGAATTACGTAGTGGTAGGGCGTAATTGTTTTTGAAAATTGCTATTTGTACGTGCTTTCTACACGTCCACATTGTACACTTCGATTTTTTATATGTGAACATGCTATTTTTGTAAAGAGATTTGTGTGTGACAGACAAAAATTCTCTTTACAAAAATAACGCGTTTACGAACGAAAATCTGTGCGTACTAAGGCGTGTAAGAGACAAAATTGAATTTTTTTACTCTGATAAAGAGGTTCCTAACTATGGAGTATTTGAGTACTCCCAACTCCCAAATATGTAAAGAGAGGGAGAGATGGGGAGAGGCTTTTTAATCGTCATCTTTTTTGCTTCCTTTGTGCATTGATATCTCTTGCAAACAAGTTCAAATATGTAAGAATTCCCTAAATGGGAGTAAATAAAACCTTAATTGCCAAAATAGGATTAAAGTTAAAAAATTCCCTAAATAGAAGTTATTATTTGTAATTGGACCAAGATATCCTTCAAGCTTGATAACATGCTCCTACAGACACAATGCTGGACCACCACCGCTCGCCGGCCACCACCGCTCGCCGGCAACCACCGCTCGCCGGCAACCACCGCTCGCCGGCCACCGTCGCTGCCTAAAAAATGACCGGCGTTGCACATCTGGCAGCAGTTGCTGCAGATCTAGTCGCCGGAGACGTAGATCTGGCCGCCTCCAGCCGCCAATTGATGTCCCTGCAAATCCGGTCGTTATCGCTGCAGATTCGGCCTCCACGGCTGCATCTCTGGCTGCCGTTGTTGCCAACAATTTTCTCATAATACCAACATGAATCTAGAATGCCATATTAATGGCAATTTCAAAGGGTAACACAATTTTTTTCGAAGAGTAAAAATTTCATTTTGATGGCATTTTGAGAGTGAATTTGGCAATTCTAACAACTAAAGAAGAAATCGGCCAAGCACTAGACTTGCGACAACAACAGAAGGCAGGAAGAGAGAAAAAAATAGAGGATGAAAGAGAGGAAGAATAACGAGCTTCATTACTCCGGAAATAGATCTGGATTGGATTTGCTACTCACTCCCTCTCTGCTCTCCCCTGCTCACCTCTGTTGCTCGTTGCTAGCCGATGGTCTCGGTACAGTAGTGCAGTTGCTCGCCGCTTCCAAAATCAAGTTGTTGCAGATTTTCAACCAGAGAAGATCACCGGAGAAGATCACCGGAGAGGGAAGCTCACCATGAAATATGAGGAGATTGGAGAAGATAGCTGGATGCGCAGAGATTAATTCAAAAAACAAAGAAGAAGAATTGATCTGCCAACTGCCAAGAAGTGAAGTGATGCGTCCAAAAGAAACGCCGGCTCATGTGTTGAAGCTGATGAGATTAGAAGGGTAAAAGTGGAATAATAGTCCTGAGAATAAAAATAAATCTACTCCTATCTGGGAATTCACACATTAATTTAGTCTTATTTAGGGTAATAACTCTTCAAATATAGGGCTCGTTTGGTATGATGTAAAGCAAACACTTTGCATGTAAAGTGTGAGATGTAAACATTTTACACCGTTTGTTTTAATTATTTGATGTAAACTGCAGGACACTTTTTAAAATAGTAAACTACTTTACATTACTTTACATTGCTAATACTCCGTATAAAATATACTCCGTATCCATGGGCGGAGCTAGGGGTGGGCCAACCTAGGCCATGGCCCACCCCAAATTTTAAAAACGGCTTAATTTTTAAGTTAAAAAATTTCATGTAAATTTTTTTCTAAAAATATTCTTTATATCGGTCCAGTCCGGCCCAGTGCCTTGACTCCGACCGTGTCCGTATCAATTTAATCTTTTACACCTTAGCTGGTTAGACCTAATTTTGACGACAAACTGTAGCGGTCAAAAGAAAATTGTTGCCGGCAACCTTAAAATAGTTTATCTCCGTGAACTAATAGCACCATGCATATTCTTCACCTATGCTGCGTGGCTGCGCTGCGCTGCAAGAAGCCAGGTAAGCTTCAAGATATCTTTTTTAATTTATATTTATATACTACATATCAGAGAAATCATCATGTCAGCCCGGCCTGACCGGGAGAGCCGTCCGGCCGAGCCCTTTTGGCGACCTTCCCGGTGGAATTTTTCGATGACATTTTTTGAGCATGTTCCTCATCAAGTCTAGTTTGTCCATACCAAATTTCAGATCAAAATTCGATCGGGAAGGCATTCAAATCTTTTTTTGAAGTTGACTGCGTTTTTATATGTATATTTTGATGTAGTCAACTTCAAAAAATGATTTGAGTGCCTTCCCGATTGAATTTTTACCTGACATTTAGTATGGATAAACTAGACTTGATGAAAAACATGCTCAAAAATTTCATCAAAAAATTCCATCGGGAAGGTGCCCAAACGGGCTTGGCCGGACGGAGGTTCCTGTCAGGCCGGCCTGACAAGAAGAGTTCTCCTACATATCATATGCTACTTCGTATTTGAGTTGTTTTGAGTGTCTAAACTTGATGTTGCAGGATTTAATTTTGAAACACAAGATCAATTATGTTCGAATCATTGAAATACGGAGTAGGAATGAGCTGCCGATAGTTGCATATGATATACTCCCTTCGTCCCTGATTGTTGTTCCTAATTAAAGTGGCACGGTGATTAAGAAACTGAGAATTGTGTGGTGGAGAGTTGTGCAGAGGAGAGAGAAATGTTGTGAACCACAAATTCTTTGCCAAAAAGGGAAAGTGAAATTCTTTATGGGACAGACGAAAAGGGAAAGTTGGAACTAAATTCAGGGACGGAGGGAGTAGCTTTTTGTTTTTTGTTTTTTTTAGTTGCATATGATATAGCATTAATATAGTTTGCGTAATTTAGAAATAGATTAAACACATAACCAAATGATGTATTTTATTTTGCGTGTAAATGAATTACTACCCTAAACTTTACATGCAATCATTTTGCATGTAATGTTTTAATGTGCAAACTACCAAACGGGCTCATAATCTTAACATTAATTACTAATCAGTATAGTACCTCTGCAATGCACGGCTGATTACATTTACTTATGTGTTAAATGTATATACTTCGTATAAGACGATAGGAGGATGATAAAAATATTTAAAAGTGAAAATAACTAATCATCGAAAACATAAAATAAGCCCGTTTGGTAGTTTGCACATAAAATGTGACGGTAACATAATGTAGTAATTCTTTTACAAACCGTGAAAGACTTTGATTGCTATGCAGCCTATGCTTACCTTATGTGTCATATAAGTAATTAATAACTAAAAGCATTACCTCCGTCCCAAAAAACTTTACCATTTTTAAACCTTTGATCAACTATATTTTTTTATTGGAAATTATTTATAATATAAAAATTATATGAAAATGTTCTTTGTTAAAGATACTTATATAGAAGTATAAATTTTATAACTTCCACAACATTATACTCCCTCCGTCCCCGAAAGAAGTTCCCACTTTCCTTATTTGGATGTCCCTAATTTAAGTTCCCATTTCCTTAAATGGAAAGTTATCTACATCAAAACAGTGTCAAACAGTGCAAAATAGTGTCAAACAGTGCCAAACAGTGTCGAAACAGTGTCAACACAGTAAAATTTACCCCCTGGTAAGTTTATTTGCATAAAAGTGTCTTAAAGTCAAATGGGGAACTTCTTTCGGGAACGGAGGGAGTATTAATCAAAATCATGGTTCAAATTTAATGAAATGACGAAACTTTTTGGGAGGGGTAGTAACATATAAATATACTAGTTTTTGTATCGCGCGTTGCGTGAGAATGCAGGTGCCCAATATTTATAATACATAGAAATTTTTATAATTACCTTTTCTATTCGTACAAAATCAAAAGATAAATTGGAATTCACATTTCACATAGTCCTTGTAAATTTAGAGTTTGCCTTTTTATACAATTTAGGAAAGGAAAAAGGGCCAAATAGGCCCTCCTACTATTCTGAAACGGTCAATTAGACCCATCTACTTTTAAAACGGTCACACGCATACACTTACTCCCTAAATAAAGTCAGATATGCCAAATGACCGGCTAAGCACTTGGGAATGCCGGTTATTTGCCTACGTGTACAAGTTTTGACGCTGTTCTTTTAGATCTCGCTGTAGCAATGACGACATGGGAAAAAAATTCCAACGTGGCTGTTGAAGTCGCATAGTACACATTGTTTGCTATTCGCAGTTAGGGTTTTGTTCTGAATCGCAGTTGAGGACATTCATGGGTGACAAGAAAATTGCAGGGATTTCACTTTGGTCGCCTCCATCGTCATCAGCGAACTAATTTCTGTGAACTGGTATTGTTTCGATGTAAGTATACATATCTGCAAATGGTTTTATCGTGATGTTTTTATTGTGTTTAGTTTGTATCTGACAAATCCAGCGAATGGGAAAAGAAATTTGTTAATTGGTTTTGTTAATTTGTAGTTTATGGGTTTCCAAAGTCATTCGATATCTGGAATGTGAAGTTATTTCTTTGGTTTCCAAACGGAAACATGTTTCCCATTAATGTTCACATGAATGATATTTGATTAATCTGGTTACATTGGTGTCATTAAAAATATCATTTTCTTATTCTAAGATATTTGATTAATTTGTTTACATTGTAGAATGTTTTTGGAACAGAGCATTTCTTATTCTAAAAATGCAGAGATAGTTTTAGAGACAGAAGAGAGGGGTGAAACAGAGCATGGTGCTGACACAACATTTCCAACTGAAACAGAGAATGAAGTGCACAATGAGCTGCCGCAATTTGAAGAAGTACAACAAGAAGATCTTTTACATTCAGCCGATGATCAAACTTCTGAGGAGGAGCATGATGATGGAAATAATTGTAATGATGCAGAGCTAAGAGAGAAGCAAATGGCCTGGGTAAAGAGCAAGAAGACCACTGCTGAGTTGGTTTCAGATGAGGAAGGCGAGGGAGTATCTAGTCAATATTATGACTCAGATGAACCTCCCAGCTATTATTCAGAATCTGAAAAAGAGGAGGTCCAAATTTCAGAGGTCCAGTCTAAGGTGCAAGTAAAAGAGAATATTCCTTCATATAATCCAGCTTCAGAATCAAAAGACCTACAAGTGGATATGTTGTTTGAAGATGGAACACAATTCAAAACAGCCCTAATTAATTATGCAGTGCACCATAAGAGAGATATTAGGTGGGTGAAGAATGAGCCAAGAAGACTTCAAGCAAAGTGTGAAAATAAGAAGTGCCCCTTCAAGTGCACTGCGTCATGGGCTGAACAGTACAAATGTTTTCAAATGAAGACTTGGGATGAGACGCATAGATGCAATCAGAAGTTCAAGTTGATGCTGGTTAGTCAGAAATGGCTAGAAGATAAGTATGAAAATAAAATCATGGATAACCCGAGCATTGGAAAAGTGGAACTACAGAAAGAGATACGCAGTGACTTAAACATTCATGTCAACATTTCTAAGGTGAAGA